CATCTGTCTTTTATTCAAACTACAGATACTTCATACTGTAAAAGACGTTTCATTTTGTCTAAGCAGTCGTAGTAAACCGTTTTTAATAACACTGTGTACTGGCACGACTCATCCGCATATCTTAATTTCTATTATCATTAGTTGTCATTGATGAATGCACTTAAAAATTGTTACCCTTTCTTTACAGTCATTGAATTATGTTCATGTTTTTTTGATTGTAATTGGTTTTGTATTTGGCTCGTGTGGTGATCATTGTTTTCATGTTCACTGTAGATGTTTAGGGTCAGATTATTGCTTTGTGTCATGTCATAAAAATATGTTTGGTCAAGTCTCTGCCGTATATCGTTTTGGCTTGGTAGTAGTCTCACAAGTCTTTGTTCAGTGCTGCATAGTAAGCTGATAAATTCTCTATCTTCACATGAAAGCATAAACTTTTTTTAAGGTGTCAGTCTTGCACCGTAAAGGTTATTTTTTTCGATAAGTGTTCAACAATAAACATTGGATTAAAAAAACTTAGCATCGCAGTTTCTTCATTCTTATGTCTTCAGTAGTAGGCTACAGTGCTCAGACCACCTGATCGTAATTGGATAGACATGGCGTTATTTCACTTCTAATATACCCCACCAATTCATTATTTAATACGTGAAGTTACTCTCATGCGGTACTGATAACAAGTTAAGCTTTGAAATGCAATACAAAGTAACAACATTAGTGTTCAGGATCGAATTTTTTGAAAGCATTTGTCTTACCAAGATCAAAGAGTTATAATAAACAAGCTAAATTAGTCAATAGTGGTATAAAATCGAAATCCATTCTACTTATACATAGCAGCTCGGAATTTGAATACCTCTCAAGCGAAATTTGAGAAGTAAGCTCGATTACTTTACTAGATTTTATTTTTTAGAGCCCTGCAATCTGTTCTTGTTTAGGTAAATTCTAGAACCTATCTCTGACTAAGTAGCCAGTAGTCGATTGCATCTAATTATTTTGAAATCAATAATTTCAGCACATTTCATATTGGAAAAAAATTGTGCCTTTAATTATTTGAAAGATTTATGAAAAATTTATTATATCTGCATTGGTTCATTAATGACAACTTTTCGTTGTCGAGTTGGTGGTACTGTTGTATTGTAAGAGTTTGTATGGTATGGGAAAGGTTCAGCTGTTCCTATTCCACCTCTGGCCACTTCATCATGACGCCAAGCCAAAAATTTGAGATAGCTGTCAAATCCATAAGCACATAATGCTCCAAAAGCAAAAAACTGAAATTTAATAATAGGTATTAAGCATATTTTCAATTTACTGATCATTCAATTTTGAAACTAACTAACATTTTGGCGCGCTTTGGTATATAGTGCTTTGATTTTTTATAGTAATAATGCATATAATGATTGAAAGATTTCGTTAGCTCACGCGACTGACAGTAACAGTATGTCGAGCTTAGTATGATTAAGCATTCAAATGAACAACCGAGTATTTTACCGAAGCAGCTCCATAGCCAGAAACACCGTGGAACTTTGCCGCAGCTATTGCAAGGACACAACCACACAAGAAAAAAAATATGGCCCAAGCAAAACAAAATATCATTTCCTGGAAAAGGAAAGACTTATGGTATCGCATTTCTTTATGAAGAGTATTTTTCACAAAGAACTGATGAGATTTTCGAAAAGCAAATTGTGAATTTTAATTTTCATCAAATGAAGTTTGCAACTAATTGAGATTGATGCAAAGTGCGTAACATTTTGATGACCTTCAAGCAGTTCGTAAATACTGACTTACTTTTACATTTTGATCATTTCATTTGATCTCAAAAAATATTAAAGACTACAGCAATATCTGATGATAAGTAAGGAACAGTGAGTTTTGTGAAAGATATTTGCGTGAGACATCAGAAATTAAGAGGTAAAATCATGGGAAAAGACCGTGTCGGATACGTGACTATCATTTGATGCATTTCACTGGGTAATGTTGATGAATTTTTGTGATAATTCAATCGTCAGTTGTACTTATAACTTTGTTGATCAAGTTTATTCTGTTGAATTTTAACAGTCATGTAAATTTATTTTTGGTTATTCTGTGATAAAAAGTAACTTACGATAAGAATCCATGGGATTTGTTGGAATAAATCAACGATGTGAAATAAATATAAGACTAAAAGAGTCAACGATATTAGCATACCAAATATGCAAACAAAGGTAGCCCATCCAGCACCTGAGAAGTAAGCAGGACCTCCAACGAGTATACATATAAAGCAAAGAAAATCCAAAGCCTGCAAGTATGAGATGAACTTGAAATAAAGTGAATTCATATTGTGCTGAGCTTTTTATTCAAGTATTAATTGCTCAGAAACAAAGTTATGATTACTTATTTGACCCATATTCATAAAGCTATATAATTTTTATTCAAAATATACCAGTAAGTACCTAAATAAATAAAAGTAAAAATATATTGACTGCAGACGATGTAACGAGTAATTTTGTTCAATTAAATGTAAAAGTACTCGATGGTAATAAAGTTTATGAAATGACAAATTTTGATTTAATATCTATTCTGTATTTGGTCCTGCTTGTAAACATATTTTGTATTAATTTTATGAGTGATTTATACTTGACAGTACAAATAATTGAAGAATGCTATTAACAGAGATATAATAAAGATAGTCTTGCTGACAAATAAAGTTTGAATTCCAACATTGTGTGACAAGCGATTTTACTTTAAATTAAAGTAATAAAAAGTTGTTCCTTCATCTAAAAATAATAATATTATTATTGTTATTATTATTATCATTATTATTATTATTGTTATTTATATTAATATTATTACTTGTTAATTCCAGAAGAAAGTATTAACAATGGTGGTATATTTGACCTTGAAAAAACACGTTTAAATGGCACACATTTCCAGTGTGAACTATCATTTTTTACGTTTTCTCCTCAGTGTTAGTCATATTGCAATGGAAATGCTTAATAGAAAAGTTAGGATTTAGAATGACATAACTTTATTGTAATTTGATCAAAAGTAAGAAAGAAAGACCAAATTTTTAAAAAGTATAAATATATTAATAATTTTAGATAGAAAGCCATAAAATAACTTTTAATCTAAAATTATTACTTAAGTACATAATAAAAGTTTATTATGTACTTAAATAATAGGAGAATATTTTTTTTTTGGTTCAAAAATCATGCTCTTAGCACTCATAGCTTATCTTTTGCAAATTTTTTACCATTAAATCTACAAAAAAGATAATTTTTTTGAATTTTTCCCATTCTCATACAATTTCAGTTATCATTTTGATCAGCTACTTTTACTTTTCTTTGTTTGCTATTTACAGATTCACATATTTCAGCAATTATTTTTCTAATATTCTCCTAACAATTCATTTGCATATATTTATGATTAATTCTATTCCATTCAGTATTTCCCTACTTTTTTTAAATTCTTATTTCCGCAGTATAAATTGAATCAATTACGCTTGTTATGGCGTGAACTTTCAAAATTGCGACTTTATTTTTCCATTGACTAAGCGATTTTGATCGTAAAAAATTTTGCAAATATCTTATAAACAATTGCTTTCACTATTTAACTTTATAGAAAAGTAGACAAAAATATTTTTTTCAAAGAAGTTTGTGGTTATCAGCGAGAAATTAATCCTCCGACATATCACAAACAGAAAAAAATGAAATTTTTGTAATAAATTTTGGTATAAAACTTACAATACAAATGCATTTTAGCATTCCTGATAATGTTTTCATATAATCCAAATCAAGTTGGGGTTGTATGATTTCTGCTTGATAATTATTGACAATTTTTGATTGTTGATACGTTTCAGCAGTGATTACTTGTGCAGAATGATTTTCATTAATCATTTTTATTACGTTATTACTTCCAGCCACTTATCTATAATAAATTCATTATGTTATTTCAAATCTTTTTGTTAATCAAATAAATATTCACATTATGTTTTTTACAAGTAATCCTACAACTTTTTACAATCATTTATTTAAGTTAATAATAATAATAATAATAATAATAATAATAATAATTCATTGCATTTTTAATGAAAATTGTCTACAAATTTCACAGCTTTTTGGAATAATTTTCTTTCTATATCTCTAAGAAAGAAAAGACTGTAAAAAGTGACTTGCTTTAATTATTTAAAATACTTCATTGAACATAAATTGCTTAAATTCATTATGCACTAAAGCATATATTAAACAAAGATGATCGGCGGATATACAAACAGTATAAAGTGAGCTTTTTTATTTTCATTATTTTTGATAAGAAAAGCTCATTTTATTAAAAAATCTTACATGAATAGGCATATTGAAGTTATTTGTTTAATTTTTGACATAATTGATGGAAAAAGGTATTAACAAAGGAGGGATTAGCAAAAGAGATAATACGTTATGCATATGTTAATGTAATTGATGCTTTCCAAAATTATGATATATAATAATTGTGCCATGATAATGATAAGAAATAAGCCTGCTAAGAGATAAGTTATTAAGCTTCTAGTTGCATTGGAAAATGCGAAAATAAATACTTTTAGTTGAGGAAGTAAAGTTAAAGTAAATGGATTGAGCTTTAGATCACATGTCAGCTGCTTCTTCTCACCTAGCTAAAACAGTAAATCAGAGATTAGAGCAAACTAATCTTAACGTAAAACTATCACTGTTTCATTTCAAGTGCTTTTTTTT